TATCCCGTTAGACTAATGGAACCTGAGACCTCAGGATCAGCATCTGTACACCTGCTCCTTGCCCCTATGGAAAAATGGTAAAGAAATTCTGTTAGTTGAGTCACAGGGTGTCTCCACTCTCTGATATGGGTCATTCCTGTATAGGGAGGATGGGATCATATGTGACCGAACAGACCCAATCTGCAAGATCTTAGCTTTTCCATTCATTAGATATACATCGTCTGATATAGAAGTCTAGTACCAAGTCATCAGATGGTTCTGTGTATAGTGTTCACAAAAATACTAGTGTAAGGCTAAAATATTTTACTTCACCTTTGACCCATGTCATGAACTGAACCCAGGACTGTAGCTGTTGAAAGGCTGTGCCTTCTCACTTCACAGAACTTTATAAGTATTTATTATGATGCATAAACTTTTACAGTATTAGCAAATATAAAAGACCAAATTCTAAAATCCTTTCTCAGGCCCTAGGCAAAACTCTCATTGAAATCACTGTGACTTTTGTGAGAGCCAGGACTTCACATTTGACTCACCATATATGTCATTGTACACAGATCACTGTTCTTATGGTGGATGTAGGTGTTCTGATCACCATCTGCCACATCACCTGATTTTCTTGAAATGTCCCATGTGCTTTGACAACTTTATTAACTTTATGGAAATCTTGCTTTCCAAACACTTTCAATCGCACTTGAAATGGTTCTGCATACAATGGTGCCCGCAACCATGCACATATTACACACGGTGCATGTCTAATGTATGCACATTGGCAGGGGGGAGAGTCACTCAGAGTGGGGCGGGGGGAGGAGAGGGAAACAGTTTGCCTGAGGCCCTTCAAACCAAGTGGTTCTGTGACCCTGTGCTCTAGGGGCAATGCCACTCACTGAAATTTGACCCAGCGGACCCTCCATCACACCAAAGGGAAGGCTGGGCCAAACCTAAATGACATCATGCTAAGTTAAAGTGACAGTGGTTCAGTTGTGCCTACCATGTGAAAAAATTCTGGGGGTGCCCTGTCTGCATATATCTTTGTCTCACTCCCCCCCCAGCAATTCCCAAAGACTTAAAACAAAAAATCCAACTGTGGCACTGCCTTTGCTGATACATTATCATCATAGTTAAAGGCTAACTTATAGTGGTGGTTTTTGCCCCATAAATACTATTGACTAGTTGTGGGTTTACTCTGGTCTTTTGCAGAATGTATTCTGTTGGAGCACACAGGCAGAGCTGTAGAGGAAATAAATATTTCTGTAATTAAAATGGAAAGTGATCCTATGGAAATTTTAGCTTTAAAATGCTGGGCTCTTCCATCTGTGTTATTCACTTGATTGGAAAATGGAGAAATGCTGTAATGTCATAATAAGGATTGAGAATGACTTATTATGGTTATAGGTCTTATATATAAATGGTTTCCATATACTACTATCGGGTTTTGCTGCTGTGCATCATAGCTTTATTACATGCCAGAACATAAATACTCCATAAATATTGTTGCAAACATATAAAGGCAGAGGAATTTAGGGCCAGATTTCCAAAGGTATTTTAGGTATCTAAGGATGCAGATAGGAACCTAGTAGGGTTTTTAAAGGTGCTTAAATGAGTTAGGCACATAACTTCCATTGACTTCAATAAGTCTTTCAACTTCCAGAAGATCAGGGAAGAAAGCCTTTGTTCACAAACTAGGGGTATCACCTTTCAAGCCATCACACTGATGTGAAGGACAGGTGAACAGATTGGGACCTTTCATGAGGAGATACAGATGAAGGAGTTTCCAGCAGTGACTTAATGCAAGGACTATCTAGTCCAACAACAACCAAATGTATGAAGCAAAAAAATTATGCTGAAGATAGCATGAAGCTGGTTTCATCTGAACTTTTGTAAGAGGCATTGAATCAGGGAGAGACAGATACAGGAACTGCTCCCCAGTCCCAAGAGGATGTACTGGTGCTCACTTACCTGTGGTGAGATGAAAGTATCTAGTACAACACATTAATCTTTAGCCTGCATGAGTAAGAAATATTCATGGAGTTGAAAACTCAGATAGTATTTCTGCAGTGAAAGGAGTAGTTACATGATTCGTTTATTTTTAGACAAAGTACAAGGCCATCTAATATTGCAAAAATATACATTGATTTGAGACAAATTAATATGTTTTAATATATTTTGATTGTTTTTAATCTGTGTTTTAACATTTCTGTCTTAATAATTTGTCCTGGGTCAAACAGCACATTCGGCAAGCCACAGTTCAAAAAATTAGAAGGGGATGAATTCCTTCTAATTCTTTATGCTCTGAATTGCCCTCAATATTGCCCTAGCATTAGATGTGCAATTACTCTATACAATTCTGTAAACTGTATTTTCTGCTTCCCTGATCTACTGAACCAGGTAGATAGAATCAAGTTAATGTTATTGTAAACACAGAGAGAAAATCCACCATTAGAAAATGTAACAGTGAAACTGAGCCACCCATGTGAAAATGAAAAAAATATGAATTACACAATTGCTAACAATACTCATTGTTGATATGTTTTTCTCTTTGCAGGTTCACACAAGTCCATTATCAATTTTGTGGATCAGCCAAGACATCAAGATGGCTTTTTTGAAATCTATTTTTCTCTCTGCCACAGTAACTGACTAATCTTGCAAGATGCTTGCAACACCCACTGACTTCAATGGGAGTTGAAGGCATTTATCAGCTTGCAGAAAGTGCTCTGCACCTCAAAGGATTAGATCATCTGTCTGCAAAAACTGGGTATGGATTACTGGATTATTTATGGACTTTTGTTCACAGACGCATTCAATGCTGAAATAGTTACCATAGGGACAACCACATCTTGTATGACTCCAGTGCTCATGATGCAGATCCCAGAGCATGACAAATATATTGTTCACATACACACACTTTGCAGCACATTCATCCCTTTTGGTAAACTAAAAACAATTTCATGTGTAGTGCTGACATCTGGTGGCTAAAGCAGCTGCAGCAATTATACACATTCCTCTCACAGTAGATATGCCTTCAATTAGTCAGCTAGGGATTTAGCTGAATTTATGTTAACCCCCGCCCCAAACACCTTTACTCAAAATGGAGACTCTGAATCAGATGTTAAGCCTGGATGGTAAACGCTTGCAGGGTTTTTGTTTTGTTTTTGTTTAGTTCGGTCAGAAAGATGGAGGCTTAAAAGATTTAGGGCCCAATGTTGCAGACTCTTACTCACATAAATAGGCCTTACACGCACACAAGGCAGATGTCATAGGTCACATGGGCTGATTTTTTTAGGGGCACTTCTGGCCCAACCCCTTTCACCAAAGATTTTTTTCTACCCCTTTAAAGGCACCCCACATCATAAGCTGGGACCAGGGGCCAAAACACCAATGCAGCTCCAGCCAAGCCACCTCCCCAGCAGAGCTTTTGGAGATAGGGGTTCCTAGGACAGACAATGTCCAGCTCCAGCCCTACTCCTGGATTTCCATTAATTTCAAAGGGCCTGCTTGAGTATGCATTGCCAAATTAGGTCCTTATTTCCTGAATCAGTCTGGAATTTGAAATGCTACCCTGGCCCAACTAAAATAAATGGGTAAAACAATGGTATGGAACCTTGTCTGGGAGGAGAACAGCCCCACAAACATACCCTCCAATCAGAATGCCTGAAAGTGTGTGTGTGTGTGTGTGTGTGTATGAGAGTGAGTGAGGGGGAGATCAGAGATGAGAACATCCTTACCCCTCCCATTTCTATCTCTCACTATGATTACACTAGTGTTGTAAGCAAGAGAGCCTCATCCTGCTCAAGTTTTTGGTGTTGACTCCATAAGATTCTGGAGAGAAATACTGAGATATAAAATCAGTCTTCATAACTATTCCATTTTGGTGCTTAAGGGTTTCTTTCCTGCAGGCATGGGATTTTTCCAATTATTATAGTTGGAGCTGCAGTGAAGACTCTGTTTATTATGGTTGACACCAGGTTACACTGCAAATCAATACTTTTTTTTTCTGCTTTTTTTTTTTTTTAATTTTTTTTTGCACCATCCTTGGCCACACACTGTCATAAAGAACTTCTCTCTTAAATTATACAAATTACCTGAACACACATCTTAGCAGTCAGGGCATACAAGCAAAAAATAGATCTCCAGCCAACCATTTACAACAACAACAAATTAAACAAAATGGTATTCTAAAGGCAGGCAGATTACACTGGTGGGGCAGTATGGGGAAGCTCACATACATATCTGGTCAAAAATTTTCATTGGACAAAAAATGGGGCTTTTGTCAAAAAGGAAATTTCCACATGAAATAGTTATTTTTGAAGAAATTGGTTGAGTTTCTCTTGGAAAACAAAGAACCCCAAACTCCAGCAACCAAAACCTGAAACATTTCAGTTAGTCGGATTAAAGTTTCCACTAAAATAAAAAAATGTTGCTTGACTGCCCCAAAGTTTTTGGCTTTATGTTGCTGAAAACTGATTTGTTAAAAATAGATTTCTGTTGCCAAAACCCAGGGGGAAAAAAAGTTTTGCAGTGAAAACCTGAACAATTTTGTAGAAAAATTTCAACACAATGATTTCTTCCCCTACGCTTGTCAACATTTTTCATGGAGAAAGAAATCACTTCCCAACTAGCTCTGTTGCCCACCTTTCTGTATCAGGAGTTCTGTCTCCAGGCGTGTTGACTTGCAATGTTGACAAGCCCTGACTTCATCTGAAAATATTTTAAATTAAAACATTATAAATCACAATCCAATTTTACAGCTTCCCCAATTATTTTACAAATAACACTCCTGTAGCAGTCGACACAATCAACTAAACAAACACAACTAGAACACAGACAAATAACAACCGTGATCAGATCAAAACATAATGATTGCCCAGAGCTATTTTTCATTGGTGTCTTGAGTGCTAGGGATGGAAAGCTAGCTAACAGGAAGAAGAGATTGTAAACCAATCGGGGAACGCTTTTCTATGGCCAATCAAAAGCTGTCTTGCACAGCCGTTTTAGAAAAATGAGGCTTAAGGTGATAGCCTTCCCTTCTGCCTGCTGCTGCCTGCCCACTCCAAGCAGCCTGCCTGTTCGGTGCAGACTGTGCCATAGGCTAAAGAGAAGGAGATTGGCTTCACTGAGAAGAATTACAGGCTGCTAGGTTTGCCTGCGTTACTTGCTAGTTGGAAGTTGCCTGCTCATGTAATGCACTCACTTACTCAGGAAATCAGAAGCTTCTCCAGGAAAAATCTTAAGAAGCAATGCACAAGGGTAACAACTTTAACGGGGAAGAGAATTATAGAGACATGGAAAGATGCCCGAATGCAGGTGGTGGAAGAAGCAGAGCCAAGTGATGGGTTTGGTTGTGGTTACGTACAGGACCTTAGCTTGGACCTGCAGGTTGGCGTTATTAAGCCCTGGTTGCTGCTAGGTGAGTGCGTACAGTATTTGAATTTAAATTTTCATCCCCTGTTAAATGTCTGCTCCTGCAAGGCCCTCCTGAGCACCAACCAGGGGGGTACTTAACTCCCACGAAAGTCAACTGCAGGTGACGCCGATACATATCTTCCATAAAGTGCTCAGCACCGCACCATTCAGGATCAAGTTCCTTCCAAGAGATTGCTATCTTTGCATTCCTAATATGACTTTCTTCGTGCTTGCCCTCTTGCATTCCTGCTCACGTTGTTTTATCCAGTTAAGCAGATGGAAAGTTGGATGTATTAAACTCAGATGAGAAGTTACTATTCACAATGTAGACATATTTAGATTGCATTATTAAAATAACTCATCATCCCCAAGGAAAAACAAATAATTAACTTCTTTTAAAATTAAGTAGGGTATTTGCTTTGTCTGTTTATATTTTGACAGCTCTATGCAAATAATGTGATACTGAGTCCCTTCTCTTTACAGGATCACAAGATGCTGCTCAGGATCTGGAGACAATGAAAAAATATGGGGTAACAAACTGCCTAACAAAGACTATAGACTGTCTTATATTTAGCATTTGCTAGTGAGAATGCTTTTTTAATCATTAGAGAATGTTAGTTTTCTGACTTTTCCCTTTAAAAATGAGCTATATTTTATATCTAATTTAATAAAGTTGCTACTCAAAAGCTTGCATCTGATCCATGCACACAATGTGATGGGTGTTCATGGGTTTCACAAGAAATATGAAATTTCAAGATTAGCTGTGGTTTAAAGTTTGCTTTATTATAGAACAGATTATATGCATCTCAAACTGTGTTTTCATCAGTCCTCAGATACTAAGCAGGGTCAATGAGCTTGCTCATTGTTTGTATGGGAGATATTCAAGGGGGGATGACATGGTCCTGAGTCTTTGGTCCCTTTCTAGATCACTGGTGGTCTAATGAGAGTGGAATGTAGTCCAGGGGGATTCCCCTGCTGCAGGCCAATACCCTGGCATTATAGGGACTGTGCGGATAGCCTTGTGCCACCTTGCCATAACTTAGAGTAGTCTCCAGCCAGGCCAGAATTCAGACCATAAGGCCATCTTTGCCCTGCCTAGTCTGTACCTGCTGCACCATGAGGCCCCATGCTCCAGTAAGCAAGGCTGATGACTCAGTAAGTGCACTGTTAACCAGTTCTCCAATGTCTCCAACTGGTTCTCCAACCAGTTCTCCATAATGCTAGGGACATTTTGCTGATTGAGGTGTTGCCTCCTCAGCTGTAGGACTGGCTAATATATTTGGAGCACCCAGTACATTTATACTCTTATCCCTCTAATTTTCTCTTCTGTTCTTCTCATGTGCTCTGCTATCCCCCTCTTCTGTTTAAAACCCTTATGCTAGCTGGTGTAGTTAGGGTGAGGGGAAGCAGTAGCTCTTCCATCATATGATTCAGCGTGAGGGTGAAGCCCCATTGGCCAGATCTTTCCCCAGAGTGCTAGCAGGCAAAGGTCTGGTAGAGCACCAGTCAGCGCACCCAGAGAGCAGAAGACCCTCACAGTCTTAATTTAATTTGGGCCCCTCTCCACATTCAGCTGGGATGTTTTTGCCTACTCATAGTCATTCAAGATCCCATGGCTCCTTTCTATAAGGTGAAGGAGTACTTGTGGCACCTTAGAGACTAACAAATTTATTTCAGCATAAGCTTTCGTGGGCTACAGCTCACTTCTTCAGATGCATAGAGTGAAACACACAGACAGAAGATATTTATACATACAGAGAACATGAAAAGGTGGAAGTATGCATACCAATTGTAAGAGGCCAATCAATTGAGATGAGCTATCAGTAGCAGCAGAAGAAAAAACTTTGAAGTGATAATCGAGATGACCCATAGAAGGTGTGAGGAGAACTTAACATGGGGGAAAAAAAAATTCAATTAGTGTAATGACCCAACCATTCCCAATCTCTGTTTAGACCTAAGTTAATTGTGTCTAATTTGCATATTAATTCAAGTTCAGCAATCTCTCTTTGGAGTCTGTTTTTGAAGTTTTTTTTGTTGCAGAACTGACACCTTCAAGTCTGTCACTGAGTGATTAGAGAGGTTGAAGTGTTCTCCCACTGGTTTTTGAATGTTATGATTCCTGATGTGAGATTTGTGTCCATTTATTCTTTTGCGTAGAGACTGTCCAGTTTGGCCAATGTACATGGCAGAGGGGCATTGCTGGCACTTGATGGCATATATCACGTTGGTAGATGTGCAGGTGAACGAGCCCCTGATGGTGTGGCTGATGTGGTTAGGTCCTATGATGGTGTCACTTGAATAGATATGTGGACAGAGCTGGCATCGGGCTTTGTTGCAAGAATAGGTTCCTGGGTTAGTGTTTTTGTTGTATGGTGTGCGGTTGCTGGTGAATATTTGCTTAAGGTTGGGAGGCTGTCTGTAAGCGAGGACTGGTCTGTCTCCCAAGATCTGTGAGAGTGAGGGATCGTCTTTCAGGATAGGTTGTAGATCTTTGATGATGCGCTGAAGAGGTTTCAGTTGGGGGCTGAAGGTGGCGGCTTCAGCTGTAGCCCACGAAAGCTTATGCTGAAATAAATTTGTTAGTCTCTAAGGTGCCACAAGTACTCCTGTTCTTTTTGCGGATACAGACTAACACGGCTGCTACTTTTGAAACCTTTCTACAAGGTGTCAGTCTTGCCAAATTCAATTTGATTAATCAGATTCTACCAGCCTAAAAATTCCCTTAGTAGTTTGTGTATTGGATATGGAATTCTTCATATTCTTTCATTATCTGTTACATACTGTGGCTGTGCACTATTAAATAGTAGGTTCATTCCACCCCAGAGGTGGCTATGTTTCAGTGATAAGTGAGGGGATTCCTATAAGTAGTTTGCAAAGGATTTTGGGTGCCTTCTTTATGAAAGGAACTAGATAACCTAAGATGCAGACTTAACCTGTAGCAACAACAACTTCTCAAAGATTCATTTTCAGAAGTTAACTGCTTGAAACATCATCATTACCCTTATGCTTAATTCTTCTTTTGTTAAGATGGACTGAAGAAAACTGAAATGCCACTTTATACATTTTAACACTTGATAAAATCTTAAGTGGATTCAAAAAGATAGTCAAGTTAGAAACAGAGACAGAATGTCTGAATAAAATTGACTACTACTATTTGATGTTCCAATTGATGTCTGCTTAATGGATAATGCTATTTTTGTTCTTGTCCATTTTGCTTATTGTCGTCATAAACTACTTTTTTTGGCTTAGGTTACTCATGTCCTAAATGTGGCATATGGAGTTGAAAATGCCTTCCCCAATGACTTTATATACAAGAATATTTCTATACTGGATCTCCCTGAGACTGACATCACATCGTATTTCCCGGAATGTTTTGAGTTTATTGAGCAAGCCAAGATGCTGGTAAATCAATATTTCATACTATTAGTTATTCTGGGTATGTGGCAATAACTTAAAACAGTTTCCTTTGGTTAAAAAAAACAACCAAAAACACATCAATCATGCTTTTCTTAGAGTGATCAAATATTGTTTACTATTATCTACTAGATTTTTTTTTTTTAGTGCAGTATTTCTTAATTCAATCTAGAGCAATGAGTGACTTTTTGATAAGCAAGTCTTAACATAGGTCCAGATCCCTCTTCCAGGAGTAAAACATGCAGAGGAAAAGGAAAGCTTTATAAGCTTCCAGAATTCATCTATTAGGAGGCAGTGTTTTGACATACCAGAGAAGAAGCAGGGAGTTTGGCAGTGCCCCTGGAAATCAGTGGGGTTTTGCTGGCTTCCTCCAGCTGTCAGGGATACCTCAGCCTGCTACTGTCCCTTGAACCCTCCCTTAAAGGTGAAACACAGTAAACTATGAATTCAACATAAAAATAGTTAGAGCACACGTTAGTAACTGTAACCAAAGGTCCTGATTCAGCAAACCATCCCTGTTCAGCAAATATTTACTGAACCGGGATAGACATAAGCTTGTGTTTAACTGCTTTGCTGAATCAGTGCCTAACTGCATGTCAAAATTCCTGTAGAAGAACAAAAGTAGGAAATAGGACAAAACTATCATGGCAGCATGGCAGCTTTCATTTCTGATATTCTGTTCTGTGTACATGCACTGATCTCATTTCTACAGAAGTGTAAGACCAGGATATCAAAACTGAGATCTACAAAGCAAGTCTGGGAACAGAATGTTGCTGTGTTTTAGGTTGATTCCTTTTTCTACAAGAATTAAGGCACTGTCAGGTTAGAGAGGGGGGAAAAAAAGATGTCACATCTCATGCCAGAATTATTAAAAACCTTGGCAGGTGCTACAGATAATCAAAGTCCTCTCTAATTGTTATATGTTGAATTACTATATTTCATACAGGCCATTGACTTTAACAGTGCAAGAAGAGAAAATGCCTTGACAGTCAAACCTGGTTCTGGATTATTCCACCAGATCTATCATGTTCATTATTTACATAGCTTAGGATAAAGGAAGGTAACATTGCCCCATCCGCTTTTGTGTCACATAGTGTTCTTTCTTTCTAACATATCATTTACAAGTTACCTGAAACGGGGTGTCACTTAATGACCTCCTTCAGGTTTCCAGTTACGATTTCCACTTCATTCCTAAATGATACTTGCCAGCTTAGTGTCACTGCTCCACTTCAGAAGTTAAATTTTCCAGTTACTTCTCTATAATCAGAGGTATTCTTATAAAGCCTTCCATGGCAATACTAATATTTCTATACTGCAAGATGTTTATGTGTGCTAGACTGCCAGGAGATTAGATTAGAACAGTGGTCACCAACTGGTCGATCACAATCGACTGGTCAATCCTAGAGGATCTCTCAGTCGATCACGATCTCCGGTGGCAGTGTAGTGTGGCTGCCGCTAAGGCTACCCCGGCTCCACACTACTTCCGGAAGCGGCCACTGCAGTCCCGTGGCCCTGCGGGTGGGGTGGGGGAGCAGGGGTCTCCCTCTGTTTGCTGCTCCTGCCTTCAGGCACTGCCCCCACAGCTCCCATTGGCCGGGAGAGCTGCGGGGGCAGTGCACGGAGCCATGTGCCTCCCACCCTCCCCACCCCAGGGGCCATAGGGACGCGTTGGCCCCTTCCGGGAGCAGTGTGGGGCTGGGGTAGGCAGGGAGCCTGCCTTAGCCTCGCTGCGCCCACTGCCGACCGGGAGCCACCGGAGATAAGTGCTGCCCAGCGGTAGGTCGTACTCCAACCCCCATCCCTGAGCCTCCTCCTGGAGCCAGCACCCCATATCCCTTCCTGCACTGCAAGCCACAGCCCTGAGCCCCCTTCTGGAGCCTGCACCCCAAACCCCCTCCTGCACCCCAAGCCCCAGCCCTCACCCGTCCCAGAGCTAGCACTCCATAGCCCCTCCTGCACCCCACCCCCCTGCCCCAGCCCTGACCCCCCCTCCCAGAGCCAGCACCCTGTACCCCCTCCTACACCCCAACACTCTTCCCCAGCCTGGAGCCCTCTCCTGCACCCCTGCCCCAGGCTCAGCCCAGAGCCCCCTCTCACACTGTGAACCCCTCGGCCCCAGTCCAGAGCCCGCCCTTCCGAACCCCGATCCCCCTGCTCCAGCCCGGTGAAAGTGAGTGAGAGTGGGGGAGAGCGAGCAACGGGGGGGGGGGAAGGGATTGAGTGGGCGGGGCTTTGGGGAAGGGGCGGGGCCTCAGGGAAGGAGTGGGGTAGATCCTGAGTTGCCCTTAGATTCAAAAAGTGATCTTGGGTGTAAAAAGGTTGGAGACCACTAGATTAGAACAAACTGTGATCTATGGAACACTTGCTGTTAGTCTGCAGAGAGTAGATTAAATTCCCAGCTGTTCCATAGGTTTACTGTGTAAGCTTGGGCAAGTCACTTAATCTCTCTGGTCTTAGTTCACCACCTGTACAGTGGGGATAATATTCCTTTCTCCCACACTTGATCTGTTTTGCCTATTTAGATTGTATGTTCTTTGGAACAGGGACTAATTTTACTCTGTGTGTACAGCATCTAGCACAATAAGGTCCTAATCTTGATTGGGACCCTTAGGTGATACTATAATAATAATAGTTTCTGGACGGGAACCTTGTCATTTACAAGGTCTTATTTCCCCAGTGAAACTTCCATTGACTTATTACACGTTAGGGGCTGTCAAACCTGGCCTTCGGGTATTTAGAATTTAGATTAACTAAGAATATATGTATACTTTAAGAGGTCTGTCACAGTTTCAGTATCTTTATTCAGCAAATGGTGCTAGTGATTTTTCTCAATGGAAGTGAGATATTTCATCTGACTGGACCTCTTGCCAGGTCACAGACTAAGATGCAGGCATCACAAAGTTTGTTTAAGGTAAATACTAATTTTTCTTGCTTTACAACAACTTTGATAGTCTTTAGATTTCCCATCAGTTCCAAAGATAAGCTGCATTTCCTGTGATTTTCTAGATGGTGGCTTCCTTTTTAATTGTTAAGTAATCTCCATTATTTTTATCAGAACAGCAACATCTTTAAAAAGTTGTTCAGGACGTTCAAAAATGTTGTTCAGACAAGGTTCAGGCTGTTTTAAAAGAAGTATTATTACTATTTGTTATTATTATTATTTAATTAGAGACGAGACTGAATGTAACTCCCAGAATGAACCCCTGTGAACTTGGGGGAAATTCAGATATGGATCAGGGTCAGGATTTTGCACCTCAGGTCTATCTCTAGTCATTTATGTCTAATCGAAGTACAAAATAGAGTAGATAGCAAATTTATTTCTGTTCATTACACATGTTTTTCTAAGGTCTGTTTTGACATAGCTATTCATGAGCCTTATCCTGCCTACCCAGAGTCCTCACAGTTTGTACAGTGCTTAGCACAACCGTGTCCTGATCCAAGACTGAGGCTCTGAGGCACGACAATAATACAAATAAATAATAACGATGAATGAGTCTTGAGTGTGCAAAGAATGTGGGATTGGACCTGCAGGATTTTAGCCTGGTTACAAAACACAAATAAGTTCCTCTCCACACTACAAATCATTGACTCTGGGACTTGCCCTCCCCAACACCATTGGTCTGACAGAGCCTGGATTTCTTAACTTTCAGGGCAAGCTGCAAGGAATCTATTTTAGGGAGTGAAGAGGAATGGCGTGAGGGATTTGGGGGTAATTGATTGCAGGATCTTAGTATAGAATGGGAGGTTCTTAACTTCAAAAGAGGCTACTTATGTTATGACTTGGCCATTGTGAAGCAGCTTTGGTCAGTAACGTTTTTAGTTTAGGGCACTTTATCCTTGTTTGTAGGTATTGATATTTATACAATTGCTTAGAGCTAGACAAGGTGCTTTTAATAAACCTAAATAAACAGTAGGACATGATATATGAAATGTCACTGCCTATATAATAGACAGTAATACAGTATCTCAAATGACTAATGTGTTTCATTTTTCTCTTGAAGGATGGAGTGGTGTTGGTTCACTGTAATGCAGGAGTTTCTCGTGCTGCCGCAATCATCATTGGTTTTTTAATTAATTCAGAAGGACTCAATTTTGCTAGGGCATTTTCTTGGGTGAAAAATGCAAGACCTGCTATCTGTCCAAATCCTGGCTTCATGGAGCAGCTTCACAAGTACCAAGAGTGCAGTAAAAAGGCAAATGGAAGCATAAATGATCACAAATGATAAAATGAGAGAAATGCATGCAACTATCAGTGTGGTTATTCTGTAACAAATGTGCTGGCATAGCATACCTTAAACTGTCATTTCTGAATTTAAATAGCTATGTATGAGGGGAGGGTAAATTCATTTCCCCCACAGTTAATTCTTCAGCTTTTTAGTCTAAATAGACTGTTACACTAGTTGGTCCAGACATCAAGTTGCTAAGAGACCAGCTTTTCCCCTGATATTCTTCCATTGACTTCAGAGAAGATTTGGCCCAAGGACACATTTTTCCCAGAGTGGTGAAAAAATGATCAAACAAGTTTTGGTTTGTTTGAAATATCAGATAGAACAGAATGGTAGGTTTTCATTGAACTGTCTGTGGAGGTAGCAATAGAAAAATAAAATAAAATGCAGGCTCAGATAATAAAGTTACCCCATCTACTTTAATACCAAGTCCAATCTTTATCCATTCTAGTGGGTTATAAAATCTAGATAATAAACTGTTTGTATAACAAAATGCCTCTGTTTTGTTCTTAAGTTGATATTGCAAGGCAAACAGGTTTTTATTGAATTCCGTGGGTTGGCCAGACAGTAAGGAGCCTTCTCTTCCCTCGCATCCTGTTCAGGGGTCAGCCACAAGCCTCCTTAAGAATAAAGGAAGTGCTTCCTGCTGGAGCTTTCAGTGATTCTAGTCTCCAAAGCAAGAGTGGGAAACTTACCTCTTCCTCTTTATCTCTTGCAACACATGATATAGTTAGGCCTGCTCAAAAAAGAGTTTACTTTTTCAAAGGGTGCTATTCCAATGTGCACTCCCTTGAAGTGGCCACTCTGTATGTTTTTGGCAAACTAATCTAAGGAGCTTTTATCAAAAGCTAAACCAGAAAGTGTATCTCAAGCATATTATCAGTAATGTCAGCAATGTTCTCAAGGCTCAGTAGGATTTATTTTATCCTAAAAAGTCCATGGTCCTGATCCTGCAAGCAGATCTACATGAGTGGAACCCTGGACCCATGTGGAGTTTCACTGAAGGCAGTGATGCTTCACATGGGTTCAAGAGTGGACTCACTTGCAAGATCTGGGTCTATATCTGTTAATTCCTGGAGACTCCAGGACAATCCTGGAGGGTTGGCCACCCTACTCACAGTGTATGTGGTATTGTGTGTGTTACAGTTTCCAGGGGAGAGGTGGCAGTTTGCTGTGCATGTTAGTCTTGGGTATGGTAGAGGCTGTTGTGGATGTTAGTCTCCTGGGAGAGGGTGTGTAGGGAGGGTTACCCTTCCACCCCCACACAAGGTAAGCCAGACGTAATCCCAAACAGAAGGCAACTTCGCAACTCCCCCTTCAACAGTCACTTACAGTATCTAGTAACACATATAGATAAGATTGATAAGATCATTGAATGTGGTATATGTTGTGTGTGTGTGTGTGTGTGTGTGTTACAGTCTCATGGGACGGGGGTATAGTGTGTATGTTACAGTCTCACAGGGTATAAGTGAGAGAGGTTGCTGTATGTGTGTTACAGTCTCACTGGGTAGAGTTTGCTGTGTGTTTTACAGCCTCACAAGGGGGTGGGGATTGGTGTGTGTGTGTGTGTGTGTGTTAGTCTCACAGGGGTCTGAGGTCATGTGGGTTTCTGTGTGTCTGTTATAGTCTCACAGATGATGCAGGAGATTGCTCTCTGTGTGTGCGTTTTTGTGTTACAATCTCATGGAGTGTGGGGTTATGTGGGTTGCTGTGTGGGTGTTAGTCTTCTGGGGTTGCTGGAGGTTACCATCTCAGGGGAGGGGGCAGCAGTTGCTGGCCGCGATACAGTGTCACAGAGGTTACTGGGGTTTGTTGGGTGTGTTACAGTCACGGGGGTGATGGGTGGGGGTAGTCAGGCATGTTACAGTCTCACAGGGGTGATGGGGGGTTGTTGGGTTTGTTAGTCTCACAGAGGGTGATGGGGGTAGCTGGATGTGTTAGTCTCATGGGAGTGATGGGTGATGATGGGAGTGGTGCTGGGTGCGTTACAATCTCACGAGGATGATGAGGGGTTGCTGACTGTGTTACAGTGTCATAAGAGGTGAGGGTAGGTTGCTGCGTGTGTTTCAGTCTCACGCGGGCAATGGGGAGGTTACTGGGTGTGTTACAGTGCCACAGGAGGTGAGCGTAGGTTGCTGGGTGTGTTACAGTCTCACGGTGGCCATGTGGTGGTTGTTGGGTGTGATACAGTCTCACGGGGTGATGGGGGCGAGCTGGGTCTGACCACCTCGGAGCGGGGTGGGGGGTATCTCGCCGGCGTAACGCGTCCGAGGGTCCCTGGTCAGTGCAGGGCAGAAGGCTGAGGTGGGGATAGGGGCGAGGTGAACGTTTGAACGCGCTACCGTCACCGTAACCACGCCTCTTCCTGCCCTGAAGTCACGCTCCCCCAAGATGGCTGCTGGGCAGGGCAGGAAGTGACGCATCCCAGCGCGCCCCGCGGCGGGCCGAATTTCCGCTCTATTTGAAAGTGTTCGCCGCGGCGGCGGCTGCTGCTATTGTTTCCCGCGGTTCCGGGCCCTCAGCGTGATGGCCGCCTTCGCCATGGAGTTGCCGCCGGCCGGTAAGCAGGGTCTCGCGGAGCTTGGGGGGCGGCTCCGGCTGTTTCCGAGGCGGGTGGCAAGTCGCGGCTGAGGAGGAAGGCCCGGCCGGGGGGGGGAAGGATGGACGGACCGTCGTGTCAGCGGCCTGGCTCCCCGCCGTGTGCGGCGCTGCATGGCCCCGGCCGCGCTCTCCACCTGGCCCGTGACTATAGCATGGCCGCGCGGGCCCTCTGGTGTCCCGGCTTTTAGCGCTGCCGTGATTGACGGTGATCCGAGCCGTGCAGCTGCCTACAGGCCTAGCAGCGCCTGTGGCTCCCCGGTGGGAGCGCTGCTGCGTGGCTGGCCTGGGGCAGGTCCCATCATGGCTGAGGAGCGCTTCCCTTTTTTCCCGACGGTGCCAGTCACCACGCTCAGCACCTCGTGTCTGAAGCTGCACACAAAAGCTACAAAAAGAACAGGAGCACTTGTGGCACCTTAGAGACTAACACATTTATTTGAGCATAAGCTTTCCTGGGCTACAGCCCACTTCCTCGGATGCAGCAAAAGCTACAGCAGCGCAGGGCCAGGATCGTTAACGGTCCATGGGAGTTAGATGCTTCGTTACTTGGAAACATCCGGCCCTCAGCGACTGTCACTTGTGCTGCTGGGGGACTCGGGCAGTGACGTGACTGAGCCGGGCGATGCACTGAGGCAGTGATGGAGCTGGAATTAGGATCTGGAAGTTCCTGGTTCCATCCCTACAGTGTGAGCGCTCTGTGCTGCAAAATGAAACAAGGAGCAGGAGGAAAAGTAATATGTAAAGTTGGTTATTATTTCTTTAAAGTGATAAGAAATAACAGCTGCTATGGTCATTGAAAATGCAGGTTTAGCAGGTATTGATTCTGATTATAAAAGTAAATCTGTAATGAGGAAAGTTCTTTCATATCAATTTCACAGCACTAATTTTAACTTTCTTGTAATTTTCCATCAGACAGATTCTTTAGCCTTAGGAACTGCGGTATGCTGAATCACTAACATTTCTAGATTCTTAAATTTTGGTTTACTAATACAGGAGCTGAACCAATGACTCTTGGTTCCCCCACCTCTCCAAAGCCAGGAGCTGGTGCTCAGTTCCTACCTGGATTTTTAATGGGCGATTTACCAGCTCCAATGACTCCACAACCTCGATCTTTAAGTGGCCCTTCTGTTGGTGTGATGGAAATGAGGTCTCCTTTACTTACAGGTGAATACATTTTACTATGAAGCCTTTTGTAGAAGTAGCTGCGTATTTTTTTTATTTTAAAAAAGGCTAGGTTTGATTTACCAATCCAGTGGTTTTTGTTACAAATTGGAGTCTCCATCATTTTCCAAACTGTAGTTGCTAAATACTCAAATTAGTTTGAATAGCCAATTATTGCAAATAAGTCTTGAATAAGTTTCATGGTGATTTAACTATGACTCTTTCAGTCTAACAAAATTTCCTCAAGAAGTATAATGTGAGTTTCTGCTGGCATAGGTTCCATCTAAGGTTGAACATTTGACTTGTGAAAAATAATTGGTCCGTTAACTGGTCATAAATGGTCAAATATTTTAAAGCACTAATTAATGTAATTGGTAAAGTGGAAGCAACTTGAGAAATAAAAATTATAGCACATAGGGATTTTTGTCTGTTTGAAATAGTATAGTGTTGGCATAAATAGCTCTAGCAAAGTATGATTGAATTCACTTTCCTAGTCAGAGGGTACACTATCCAAAAAACCCCAATAACTGATTTGATGAACATCTGAAGACTTTCTAGGAGTAGGAGTTTTCAATGCTCAGCCAGCTAGAGTAGCAAAAATCTTATTAGAGGATGAAGCAATGGAATTAGCTTGACTTTCAGAAAAAGAAAGAGTGGGGGTTTATTTACACAAGTATTTAATGAGGGTCTTTTGCTTTGTTGAAGGTGGGGGAAGTGTTGTGGAAAGTGTTAATAGATATGATACTTTTGTTTAAGGGAGAGGCTTACATGGCGGAGCATCTTTCCACTGAGGAAGGAGGTTTAATGAGTGGATGCTCCCTCCCACATTCCCTTTTTAATTCCTGTAAATTTGTTTAGTCAGTTTAGAGTGTAAAATCTTCAGGGAAGGAACCATGTATTTATTTTGTTTAATGTACATTGTAAATGGCCATGTGGATTGATGGTGTGGTACACAAGTAAAGATATACATACAGTGTTTGTTCTAGAAGATTCTAGTAAATCAAGGTGCTCAACTGTCAATTAGTTCACTTTTTCCCATACTCTTTAAGTATGTCTACACTGTGGGGACTAGAGTGGTATAGCTATGGCTACGCTGGCATACCGTGGTAGTGTAGACACTGCCTACAGTGACAGGGATTTTCTGTAGTTTTAGGAACACGATCTCTCCAAGTGACAGTAGCTAGGTTGATGGAAGCATCTCCATCACCAGAGGTTAGGTAACTATGATGGTCAACATTGGAGGTGAACTTATCACAACACCAAGCACCATAGCTATGTTAACCTAAATTTTAATTGTATACCAGGCATGAGTGATCAAGACCTTAAGCAGGCGTTTTACAAATGACACCATCATGCAGTCAAAAAGGTAGTTCTACTGCCTACATCCAGCTGGCCAGAGCTGGGCCAGCCGGAGCAGCCTCGGTTAACTGGTTAACCGGTTAAACAATTAAAATTATATTGTTTAATGTTTTAAACAATATTTACATCCCTAATTCAATCTATACTAAAGGGAGTTTGGGTTTCCACAGGTAAATTGCTGGTAAAAGTAGCTGCTCTGCTAGTTGGGAAGTTGTTCGATCAAAGCAGTGATCTGTTGTGCTAGCACAAATAAAATGAAGCTTTTGGGAACTTGATTTTTAAGGAAGACATTACTGGTAAATTTGCCTGAGAAATTGTACATAGATAAAATTGTCATTGGGGAAGAACTAAAAATCCTTTTCAGAATATCTGACTGTTTTTGTGAGGTGCCTATTAGCTACATTAGGTGAAGGCTGTCAAGTTAAATTGGGCATATATGGGAAAATTATTGATTACATAGGCATTACTGATTACATAGGCATGTAGTAAGTAATGTATATCTACTGTTTTCCCTCCTGACTACTGGGAAAATTGTGTGAATCTGTTCTCCATCCTGACAACTGAGTGGGTGGAAGAGGCTTTACCCCCTCTCTCTGCTCTTACCCAGAGGAATGCAATACTATGTCAGCTTTTCTCCCTTCCTTAGACACACTTACCAGCTTCTACATCTGTAAATCAATGTATTCAATGTCCCAGATGAAGTAGGAAGTATTTGTTTCACTGAATCAACTAACTACATGGGTATAGTGTGAGCAGCACGCTAGTGCCACTGGGCAAAAGTTCCATTACGGAGGACGGGGTTAAAGGTGCAGAATGCAATACTGACATGTTCTGTCTCCTTTGAGCTATTGTGTCAATATTTCAGTATAACTGGTCTAAATATCACTTTGGACTGAAATGTGCTGTTACTTTCAGCTATTGAACTAATTGATTAGCTTTTTTTAAGTGTTCATAAATAGAAATTTCAGCAGTTTATGTTGCATTGTCTATTAAGAACTTGGCGCTCCTGATTTTCTTAAAATACAAACTCTTCAGAAAATTACCAACACAAATTTAGAATAACAATGTAGATTTAACTTAATCCTCCAAAATTAGGAGTTACTGCAATAGAGAATAAATTGCCACAAATTTGACACCCCGCAAGACAGTGAAAGTAGGGCTTCCGCCTAAGTCTTGAGGGATGGTTGGAGGCAAGCCATCAGATAGTCTAACTACAAGACCCAAAATGGGACAAGATTGAACATGTCATCTTAAACTTGGGTTAATTTAAGAGATGAGTAACCTGGAGGCATTAATTTGTGGATGCTCCATATAGTGCTTTATAGCAACTTCTGGACATTTTGAGCTATTAAAGTAGTTAAATGATTGGAAGACTTTCAGAGTATGTCTAACCAGAAGCTGGGAAGTGTGATTCCCAGCTCAGGTAGATGTACATGTGCTAGCTCCACTTGAACAAGCACCTAAAAAAATAGGAGTGTGGCTGCAACAGTACAAGCAGAGTCTTGAACTAGCTGCCCAAGTAAAATCCTCCCTGATGCCCTGGGAGCGTGCGTGGCTGGCTAGCTGTTGAGGGAACATACCTGTTTTAAGGCAATAGCTTTAGTAGAGCTATCAAGTGTATACCTATCAAACCCCTCAATTGCTGTGTGGATATACTCACCGCTTTCTGCAGCTCACAAATAATTCATTCATAGGGAGTCTTGTAGTGCAGGATTGAGAAATACATTTGAATTGGATAGCAATAGAAGTTTAATGTAGACATTATTGACTTACCGAGTTCCACACGCACAACTATTCTCTTGAGCATGCCCACGTAAATGTTCTCTTGGGTGCATCAAGGTTCTTTAAATCAGTTCAATTTCTTGAGCTACTCTTACTAAATATCCTTGTGTTGTGGTGGCACCCAGAGGCTCCAGTCAGATTTGTGGCCCTGTTTTGGTTGATGCTGTATAAATTCATAGGCAGTTAGTCTTTGTCCCGAAGAGCTTACAGTCTAATTTATGACATAATACAAATGGGAGGGAAGAGAGAATTTGAGCAATGATAATGAGATAGTTTAACTGCATGCACACCTTAATGTTTCAAAATCCTTGATGATTACTCATATAGATGTCTTAATCTCCCATGGTCCTTTGTTGTTGTTGATTAATCTCTCATGACGTCTTCTGTTTCATGCTGTAGTGCAGTTGGTTAACATAAAATGACTGTGGCGAATACTACATTGTTACTCTGCCATAAAACAGCAAGAGGTAACTGGAAAAACAGTTGTTAAATAACATTAGAAATCAGAAGAAAATGAAAAGGAACATCTAAATGGATTTAGGTTAGATGGTTTAGAAGTTCCTCTAACTTTGACATTGCAAAAATCAGTGCAATTGTTGTAAACTGATCCTAGAGAGTAGTCTTATGTCTTTAGGTAGTGTAGTTCATGACTATTTTTTTTAAAAGAAATCTGTGATCATCCTGTTGTACATTCATAGTATGGTAAACTTAGTGCAAACAGTCCTCAAATCCTGCTATTGTACAATATCCAGATACATTAGGCATCTAGCATTTCATATGCTGTCCAAGCATCAACAATGAAACCAAGTGACAAATTAGGGTTGGGATGTTTGTATTTCGAGCTTAATATTAACATTTGTACATTAATACTATTTTTCTGACAAAGTACATAGACCACACTCTGACAGTGTCCACAGAAATGCAAAACAGAACTCAAAATTTAAAGTAACTTCACTTCCAGTGAGTGGATAGTAATCAAAACTCGTGTCATATAATCTTTGAAGTTACTGGATATATTCCCCTATTGCTGTAGTGTTGTGCCATACAGTATTTTTTCATGCTGTGTTCTGTATAACTTTAAATGTTATAAGCAGCAAATGCATTGCCACTGGAAGACCATTGGGTAATTATTAGGGACTGGGTTTTGATATCCTTCCTCATGTTGAGTAGTACCTTCCTCTGTAAAATGTCCCATTTACTTCAATGGGATAACTGAAGGAGTTAAAGTGCTACTCAGTGAGTGATAGTATCAAAATCTGTCCCTTTGATATATCCGATGTACTGAAAACTGTCCAACAAAGTGGTTGAACAGTCTGTTCTTAGTTTATAGAAATTAGGTGTCCAGGGAGATTGGGGGGGACAATTAAAAAACTAACTAGACAGTCTTATGATTGCTAAGTGTTTGAATGTCGAAAGGCTAGAGTTTCAAAATTAATCTGGTGGAGTAAATGGAAATGATAGGCTTTCTACTTGCTCCTTTCCATTGCAGGTGGATCTCCTCCACAACCAGTAGTTCCTACACATAAGGATAAAAGTGGTGCTCCCCCTGTTAGAAGTATATATGATGAATTATCTAGTCCAGGACTTGGATCTACACCTCTAACCTCAAGAAAACCAGTAAGTGGTAATCTTAAAGGTTAGTTGCAAAGCTAAACTGAAACTTGAGTTAACTTAGGTAGTGAATGCCTTTACTTCCCAGGTTGGGTGCAGGCATTTGATTCATACAATTTTTATTTCAGTGTTGAATGCCTCTCATGTTCTGGTTAGTGAGGGCTTCAGCTCCTGAATCTTAACTTAGCTCAAATTTCACTTTAGTCTGGTTACCAGCTGCTTAGTCTGACAAACAAGCACTGCAATATTAGCATGTATCTCCTTTAGTTTTTTTCCTCTTCCTCCATATGACTTTGGAGGTTGAAATATGAAATCAAGGAATTTCTCTTGAAACAAAACAGTCAAGTCTCTTACATCAGACCAGAAGTTACATATCTTTACATGTTTGCCACAACTTAATTAAGACTTAAAATACAGGAAGACAAAATATTTTAAGTTTTTTTGGGTATCAAAAATGCAACAAAAAGTTAGCGTAAATGAGATGGCAGTATTCTGTCGAAGCAAGGGGGCACTGCCAGGAATAGCAAGTCATCTTCATGCTTTTCAATTAAATTCTATTGAGTGAAATGCCTGGTTAAACTTTGTTTCTGATGCAGGCCATCATCAACAGGCCAGAAGTAAGATTTCTGGATGGTCAGTTCAGTAACTTGTCAGTCGGCCTCTTGATTCATAATAAGAGAGCAAATACTTTCACTAGAAAACTCTTCTATTGCTAAAGAGAACTGACGTACTCTATTGATTGTGTACTTGGTCCTGCATAGAACATAGGCATGTTTTCTGGCATAAGGATCTTATAAACTGAAAATTAGTTATTTTATGAAGGGGAGAAGCCACTAATGTAGACTGAAGGGCTGGAGACTTCACAGAATGCATACCAATTCTTTCACTATAGTTAATAGTTCCTGTTAAATTTAAAAGTACTTCTGTTTTCTTAATCATATTTTGTATTTAAGAAAAAACATGCTGCCTTTAATGTTGAAAGGGCATTGTTGAAGCCCTAACTTAAAACACTGACATTTCCTTTTGAGACACCTAAACTTCTGAATACTCTGTTTCAGTTTGGAAGGGGGAAAGAAGAGAATAGATAGCATAGGGTAAAAGTCGTTCAAGGGTAGGTAATCCAACTGAGTGTTCTCGTCATACCGCAGATGTTGCCGAAGCTTACAACTGAGTGAAGGGAAGGGGACATAACTAACTTAAAGAACTGATAGACACAAGTGAGGCCTCTCATTTGATATGTTCGTTGTAAATATTTATTAAGCTGTTGTGGTGAGTTATGTTCAAACTCTTCAAAATAATGAAAGGTCTTTGGGTATAGATGCAAAATACTTATTCATTCTTGGCAAAACATTGCTGTTTATAGGAAAGCTGACTTTTACTTCAGTAGTTCAGAGGCCCCTCAATCTGTGGTGTGCATAGATGTCCCTAATGTATGATGATTGGTTGCTGTCTAGATGGCAACTGCCTTATGAACAAATTTATAAGCAGTGTGCTGTTCACAATGTTTCCCCAATGTGAAATAGTTACTAGAGGAGTTCACTATGTAAAAGAATAGGAGTTAGATACTTTTAGTCAGAAGACCCATAGTCAATTGCACTTTATTCCACAAGGATAAACAGTGAATTAAGCTCTTCATTATCTACCAATTGAGGGTTATTTGGATATACAAGGAATTTACTAGGTTATATAAATTATTGCATATTAGGATCCACTTATTGGGTTTGCACAATTGTTTCACTAGCTGCAAGCAGAAGAATGTTTGGTTTAAATTGATATTGGGGCAAAAAAATAACCTTTTCTCCTGATTTTTAACAATTGGGCTGAAAACTGGTCTTTACTGACTATATGAAAAGAATGTACATGCAACTATGATTTGTTACTTTTCTGTATTTTAATGCAGCCCAGCTATTCTGTAACGCAGAGTCCATTGGTTGGAGCTATGCCAGCAACCCCTGGAACAGGTAGACATCCTGTCAAACTGCTTGCTATACTTCTGTTAGCATGGTAGAGGGCCAACTCTGTCTGAACTCTTTCACTTTTTTTGTAAATTGCCTTGCAAATAAGTAGCATTCTTTCTGCTTGCAGGCGATAAATGTGAGCAGGAAAGTACTGCCTTATTTATTGTTAGGGTACTGCAGCCAGAACAAGAACAAGGAACTGCAGCTATTTATCTGCTCCTTGTAGTAGAACTCCTTCTGCTGTATTGAACACAGAGGCAGAAGTGCTCTTAAGGAATACTATGGAGGATGACACATGGTGCCACCATTCTAAAGCCTCCTCATTTCCTTGTATGAACCCAGCAGCGTCTTGTAAAGCTTTCTGCTGGGTTCTTTGTTCCCACAGTAGATGCAGGATCAGGATTTGGCCCCATTTCTAGCAGCAGCTGACAAAGGTGTGGTAAGTAGCTCAGTCACAGAGCTTAGCAACATGTTTTCAAATTTCACTAGTCTGAAGTGTGAGTTAATGTCGTTCTACTGTGTTTATGAAAATAAATCGCCTAATTTTTCCTGCTAAAATAATCTTGATATCAAATTTATACTCTTAGGTGCCTAGCTTTGTACACTACTCTGACTAGCTTAGTTACAGTAGCAATTCATTGAAACCAATCCTATTTCAATTTAACAGCCACAGGTGTATTTAGTCCTGCAAGTATTGGACAGCCCAGAAAGACTACACTGTCTCCTGCTCAGCTGGATCCTTTCTACACTCAAGGGGATTCTTTAACCTCAGAAGATCATCTCGATGACACCTGGGTAACTGTATTTGGGTGAGTGATCTGCAGCATTTTTCTAAGACATCTAATGGCAAAGTCCTTATACTTGGCTATTCTGTTTGAGTACTGGTACATGTAGATGTACAATCTAGACATCACTGAAAAATGTATGCGTTTTAATTACTTAAATTTTCTACACTACAGTACACTGAAATTTAACTTGCTTCTTAGGAAGTGGGTGAGAGTGGGCAGTGCAAGGCCAGAAAGAAGCAGCAATAGGACATTGTGTTGGGGTACTAGCAATCACAGGACTCGATCCTCAAAGCCAGGAGACAGCAAGTAAATACATCTGCTAAATAGTAAAGTGGCTTCCTTAGGAAATCTGCACATCATTCTCTTCATGCAAAAGTGTAGATGATGATGAGCCAATAAGATCTAGAACATTCTGTTATCTTAAATACTGTTTCAGAATCAGTGCTTAATGAACAGTTCAGCTGATGTTGCACTTTGGGAACTCTGCCAAGGATATATATTTCAGCAAAAATTATAGAATATTTAGTGTGTTCTATAATAGTTTCTCACTGAACAGCATTTTGAGTATCTTGTCTATTGCTTTCAGGTTTCCACAAGCATCTGCTTCCTATATTCTACTACAGTTTGCACAGTATGGAAACATATTAAAGCATGTGGTAAGTCTTATGTTGACTATCTCCTAAAAACATATGCTAATTTGTTCATTCTTCAAATACTAAATTTCACTACTTCCAACCAAAACCGAGACAGATGTCCAATACAGGAAACTGGATGCATATTCGGTATCAGTCCAAACTGCAAGCCCGGAAAGCCTTAAGCAAAGACGGAAGGATTTTTGGTGAATCTATCATGATCGGAGTCAAGCCTTGTATAGATAAAGTAAGTTAGCCATCCATTCTGTATGGAATAACAAATTAAATTATAAGGCATCTTTGTTTTGGTCTCTTCCTTGCTTTTCCTTTTCCAGAAGCATGTAGATGGGTGGGGGTGGGGGTGGGGGGGAAAGGGTTCATATGTTAAATCAGGTGGTATACATCAGTAGTTTGCAGTAGTAGAGTCCTTTGTTATCTGAGGACTTAACATGGAAACTAGAACTGTGTACAGCAGTGCTAACCACACTTAAGGCTGTGAAATGAGTATATTAATTCATCTAAAACTGCAGGGGAAATGTAGCTGGGTAGAATGCATTTACCTGAGTTGGAATTTGATTCACTTGGATTAACACTTTGCTGGTTACTACCTACTACAGTTAGTAGTTCTGCAATTTCACATTTGAGTTCCTTTAGAACTCTTGGGTGAATATCATTTGGTCCTGGTGACTTATTACTGTTTAGTTTATCAGTTTGTTCCAAAACCTCCTCTAATGACACCTCAATCTGGGACAGTTCCTCTGATTTGTCACCTAAAAAGAATGGCTCAGGTTTGGGAATCTCCCTCATATCCTCAGCCATGAAGACAGATGCAAAGAATTCATTTAGTTTCTCCACAATGGCCTTATCGTCCTTGAGTGCTCCTTTAGCATCTCGATCATCCAGTGGCCCCACTGGTTGCTTAGCAGGCTTTCTGCTTCTGATGTACTTAAACATTTTTTTTTTTTGCTATTCTTTTTGAGTCTTTGGCTAGCATATAGACTTTGGCAAGTATATAGATCCCCAACCAAAACAGTACAGAGACACTTGGTAATTGTCTCCTCTACACTAAGAGGAAAGCATGCCTGCCTGTTTGTTTAAACACCAATTCCTGCAGCACTCTGGCTATCTTGGCAGTCTCGTCTGTATACTTGCTTGAGCTGACTATGCTGTCACATGTAATGGGGTTCAAGTGTGGCTGTCAACCATCTAAAGGGAAGAGGTTAAGCTACATACCAGACTAAAGGGGGTGAAGGATGAGCAGGAATAATGTAGGACTGGGGAAATACAACTGAATAGGAGTAGACGAACGAACGATTCTGCTCAGAAAATCCTCTAAACAGGACTGAGACCTATTCTTGCCCCAGCTTTAATGGGCTGGCTGTCAAGAAGCTTGTCTTGTGTTGCAGAATCAAAAAATAAAAGGAGGGGAAAAAACTCTTTGGAAAGACAAAATATAAACCTCTGTTCTGGAAAAAGCCATCGGATCACTAACTCTACAGATAACCCAGGATTGTTTGGCAGTAGACTCATGGAAGGATGAAGGGTTGAGTTGACACTATCCAGGTTTGAATCCATAACATTTAGGTATTTAACACCCAAGGTTGGACCCACTACAAGCTTGTTGAGACTTGCTTTTAGTTTATTTATAAATCACTAAAATCATGTTGTCTGTACTGTTTTCAAATTTGGTTGTGATATTATCTTGAAGGCTAGTAAATCATTAGTTCACCACTCGCTTGTACTAGCCTCATTCAGTTCTTTTAAATAAGCATTTTTCTTACTGCTGCTCTGTGCATTAATGTTCATCGTAGAACATGTACTGGTAGTTCACTGTCTGGTACACTGTCTGTAAATATCTTACATACTCTTCATTGAATACATAATGGCAACTTTATTAGAGTCCTGGTCCAACTTGAGCTACTGGGATATTACTTTTTGTCAAATCAAATCCGGTTACTGTATTAACTGGAATTAAACTGATATGCACCTAGTATTTGCTTCCAGTTTATTGACATTTAAATAGCCTATTTTCCCCCTCTCTTTCAAGAGTGTGATGGAAAGTTTTGACAGAGGCTCTGCATCCTCCATGTCTTCAGTCTTCACGCCACCGACAAAAACCTTAGGCACACCGATGCAGCCTGCAAGTACTCCAAGGATTTCTACAATGAGACCTCTTGCAACAGCATATAAAGCTTCCACTAGTGACTATCAGGTATTTTGAGAGGGTAGAGAGCGACAAAGGTTACAAAATACTTAAGCACATTTCCAAAAAAGGAATTTGTATTCTTCTTGACTTTCTCAAGGTAAACTGCAAAAGAAACAACTAAGCCAAAAGACACGCTGAATGCATGTTTGTACTTTCTGTACTGAGTAGTGGGGACATCAGCACATTGTTCTAGACGTAACTCATTTTTCATCTCCACCTGTAGTTTGCTCCTTTCCCACTTGTCAAGGCAGTTTTTTTTTTTTCCAAACTTGCCTACATAGCCTATTCATCTGTCAAAAAGCTTTCGGAGTGACTTTTTTTAGAAAGTCCATCATTCCAAGAAGTTGAATTTGCGTTGAGACCCTTAGATGCCCATTTTTACAGTCACAGTAATTCTAAGAGCTGGGGTGTGTAAATAGAATGAATGCATGCTGGCTGACCAAGTGTTTTTGTTTCTTCTAGGTGGTTTCTGACAGACAAACCCCAAGGAAAGATGAAAGTATTGTATCTAAAGCTATGGAATATATGTTTGGCTGGTAGTAAGCAATGGAAAGTATTACACTAAAACACAGTTAGGGCTACAAATAGACTGCCAGCTTCCTGGTTAGTTGTATAACCACTCATGGCAGTATTTCAGCTTCCCTTCATACCAGTTATGCCTTCTGAGAGGAGAATTCAGCATACATTGTTTGCCATCATTTAAAGTGCAATGTACACAGCGTTTTAAGATGTTAATCTTAAACTAATCAGTGTAAATACAAGTGGTCTCTTGCTGTTTGTGCTCTAGTGATTGCATGACTTCAGGAAAAAAGTCAGTACTGATTTGCTGTAAGTTATGAAATTGTGTTAATTTCACTTTCCAGTAAAGTGATAATGTATAAATGATAACTCAGTTCACTGTTTCCCAATAATGTAACAATGTTTCTTAATCTTTTCTGGAAAGATAGTACGTTTTCTGCAGGATGAACACTATGTATTCTAGTAAAACAAGGGATTTTTCTTGGGCTACCAATTTTAAAATGAATGTTTAAATTTTAATTTGGATGCTGTTTAATACTTCTCTGTTTATATAAAGTTCATCTTGGAGTCCCATTCTAAATGTTCATAACAGCCTTTTAATCTTTTTAACTTACATTTTCCTAATAAAATTTAATTAAGAGTTTGCAAAGTTGAGTTCTTTCAAAAGCTTGAGTGATCCATGTGTTCATGAACTTCCCATTTGTCTCTCAGGTTTGAGCCAGGCATATTGCATGTACTACCTGAACTTACATGGCACTGTATCAGGGTTGAGGTAGCCAGGTAAACCAAATGGGTGGATTTAATTTGCGTAAATTGGAATTGGTAACACTATTAATATTTAAATTTGGACCTACTAAGAAACTAATGTAGTAGTGTACTGTGCCACTTATTAATACCTTATGCATTATTTAGAAAAGATCAAAAATATGCTACACAAACTTGTATGTTTCACCAGGACTAAAATACATCCTCCCCTTGAGTGCACAGGACATGCCCACTTCTAACCATGTTCAGCACCACTACAGCTTGAAACAAGCAGTTAAAAATATCCAACTGCAATTGCAAGTGGAAAAAATTCCTGAACTGTAACTTGGCCAGAACAAGGGCTAAACTAATTACTGCAGGGGGCCAGAGCCTTTTTCATCATAAAACTTTCTAATGAAGAAGCTATTTCTGGTATGTTGGCAGAATAGTGAATCAAAGGGTAGAATGCTGTCTTACCAACATACTTTCCTTCAGTATCCAGGACTTTCCTGAGAGGTGGCCTATCCGGGACTGAGGAGGCTTCGCCCTACATTATGTGAGATCCATGATCATAGATTGAGATGTGATTAAATACAGCTTATTTTTTCTACATTTACTCAAAGGGAAAAATCTTGCCTCTGTACACTACTACCCCTACACACAGTTACAAACTTCAGCCTGACTCTGTAAATTTCCCTTTCTCAAGGTGCTTGAGAGGAAACTTCTCTCCCCTCAATAAGCTTAACATGTTTCAATTAGTATTGGGCTCTAGTAATAACTCCTCAGAATTCAGTTCTACAGCTGATGGCAACCCCTTTAGCTTGGGGCAGCATGTGGCTCAGTGCACCACTGATAGTCTTATCCCAGCAGTTTGTACTTGGTTCCAGAGCATATCAAAGAAGGTGCATGTGTCTTTACTCCCAAATAGAAACCAACTATACATGGTACGTCCTGGATCTTACACAAAGTTGGGAACATAAAACCATGGGAAACATATGCAGTCTTAAGCCTTGTCTAAATATGTATTGCACCAGTTTAAGATAAATTGACTTTTAAACAGACTTTAAACCAGTGCAAAACCCAGCAGAGACACTGTTTAAGAGTAGCTTATGGTGGTTTAGCTTAAACTTGTTCTTAATTGATTCAAGCTAATTTGATATGAAAGGTTTATTGATTGAAGTGCCCACATAGCTTTGTGTACTAGTTTAACTATATCGGTTTTAAATAACCTTTATACAAGCAGTGTCATCTGCTTAACTAGACCAGCCCGGTGCTCCTTTTGAGAGCTATTATATTGTGTATAATAGCTGGTGTTTACTAAAGAGCTGTCCTTTTGTTGGAATCTAAACAGGGACAAGCAATCACATGTCTATTAATCAGTATGTTGGGTTCCAGTTGCTCCTTAATTGCAGTCCCCAATACACCTGCTCAAAATGCAATACCTTCTCTCTGGCCCCAGCTTCCAAACAGCCTGTTAAACAGATGAGCCCATACAGAAAACAGGTAATGAAGCTTTTTTCTGACAACTGGCAAAGTACAATCTTTCCTCCTATAAACTCTCATGACTTCCACAGAATTCTTGGTGTATTGTATTTAGCTGCTCACTTTTGATCTCCTGAGTTCCACTTGGATCTATCTCCTTTCTTGCTCACTCTCCCTCCCTTCACTGAACTTCGAGCTCAAGATCATTTGTTCACTAACTAAACTGCTGAACAATTTGATGGTTCACACTGTTTCGGGTACCAGATTTTAGTTTCTCGACTGCTGCTATTCTTTTGTCTTGTTTCTCATGGAGTTTAGGATGACTTTTCTGCCCAGACCAGCACCTTCACATACTACTTTTTTCCTCATTGATGCTGTCTGTACATTAAAACTGCCTAGGAATGTTGGATATTGGTTCACTTCTCTCTGTAGGCAGGGAGAAAACATGCTCAGGATCAAAGAATCAATACACTTTGCTTCTACTGTCTAACTTCTGCTGTTCTGTTGCTGATCTAGGTTCTTCCTGGACTGACTTGAAGTTGTATCACACACTTGTTACAATATGTGTTTCCAAATAGTGTCTAATGGTGTGCTTAGTAGCTGTATTCATTTTATTTATAGACTAGCTCATTTAAAACGGAATGCTCACCGTGAATATAGTAAGAATTATCTAATGTCTTACACACCCAAAACATTGCACGAAATGCTCATTTTTAGACTATGTTGCTGGCAAAAGAAAGCATCTCTATTTTACAAATGAAGAAACTGAATGTTAAGGGGAGGATTTTCAAAAATGCCTAGTGCATTTAGAGTGTTGTAACCCTGTTGGTTCCAGGATGTTAAAGAGATGGTGGTGAGAATTTTTTCTGGACCAGCTTCTGTTGCTGAAAGATACAAGCTTTTGATATCTTTGGGTCCTATACATGCCAATCACTACATGTGTGCACTAAATCCCCCAACAATTATGTGGGTGAAACCAATCATCACATTCTTGAATGAACTCTCTCAGAAAAATAAACAAAAACCACCATATTACCTGTGGGTGAACACTTTTCACAAAACAATCACTTCATACCTGACCTCTCAGTCCTCTTCCTCAAAGGAAACCTGAACAACAACTTCAAAAGATGAGCCTGGAAGCTTAAATTGGTAACTTTGCTAGATTCTAAAAATCATGGTCTTAATAAAACACAGAATTTATGGCTTATTACAAGAATCTTTAACCCACTAGCTCTTCTTTTTTCTGTCCTATTTTTGTCCTGCAGGGATGTTAATGGGCCACTTTACCTTGAATGGTATGTGTGTTAACTACTTATACTAAACATTCTGTTCCACCTTGTATTTAGCTGTGACATTCTGAAGAATGACCTGAAGAAGAGCTCTGTGTAAGCTCAAAAGCTTGTCTTTCACCAACAGAAGTTGGTCCAATAAGAGATATTACCTCACACACTTTCTCTCTCAAGTATTTAGAGACTTCCAGGGACTTGTGCTCCTAAATCGCATAGGTGCTTTTGAAAATCTCCAGCCTTATTTTGTCAAGGCCGGAGGGTGAGTTACAGGAGAACTGGCATTAGAAATTTAGGAGTTGTTCCTGTCCTGTGCACTTAGTACTGCTGCTTTATAATGGAAAAGTATAGTTACAGGTAGCTGACTGGCATTGTACCTGGAATTAAGGGGCCATTTTGTAAAACTACTACAAGATACTTAGTATGACCTTTTATGAGTGATGTACCTGAATATTTGGATGCTAATACTTTAACTGAACCACTGAATTTATTAACCTTAATCTTGGATATTGTGGATTATGTACTATAGGTATTTTATGATTTTCAAACCACACTTTGTACTTTTGGATAATTTAAGCATTATACCCAGATGTACAGACACACTCTCCTTAACCTGTGTATTATATAATTTTAACATTAGCTTTAATAAAAAAAATTAAATCTGTTCTTATTCAGTGTCAGGTTCCCCCTAGGCCCTGGTCCTGCAAACTGAAATGTATTCAGCTCAATTGACTTCAATGGGCTTTGTGCTGACTGGGAGATCTACCCACGTGGGACCAAGGCCATAATTTTAAACAATTTTTTTTCATAAATATTCAACATATTGTTTAATCTTTCCTGCTGCTACAACTGAGTCAGCTTAGTCAAAGGCTTGATTGTCACATCTACTATTATGTCCTAATTCTATACAGTTTTAAACTCTTCATTAGTAGGGTCCTGTAGCCTCTGCTATTTCATATCCATTTCATGAACAATTTAGTTGGCAGTGTCCTTTTTGCAGGCAAGTTCATTGCTGGATAATAGATGAGAACATAACCACCTCTCAGCCCAAAATTTACAGCCTGCTTTTAGGTAACTTTTAATTTGGTAACTTTTTGCCCAGATGGACAACTATAGAACACAAATGTGAATGATTAAAAGTTATTTTAACTATAGTATATGTTTATTTCTCTAACCGAAAATACAGTTTCTACTTCATGTTGTAGACTGCTATCTCCATCTTGTGGCAGCTTTTTAGAACTGTCTGGTGTGCAAGCTTTATAATTGAATTGGAGGTTAAACTTCACACAACAGCAGTTAATCTTGATGTACCAGTGCATATGCTCTATTAAACCTATGTGCGTAAACAATACCAGAAGAAAAAAGCACACCTTTTAAAAAAGAAATGTAATAAGTTTTCCTCTAGACCGGCAGCGGTGTGGGCAAAAGAGAAGGAAAGTACAGAGCTAGTGTGTATATATAGCAGAAATGTTCTTACCCAGTGTAGCAAACAAATTACAAAGGGGATGGCTTATGTATCTAAATATTAGGCTTGAACTATATTGTGTCTGGAACCTCACTTAAGTTCCATCAGTATTTACTCATTCATTTTCCGGAGAGATTCTTATGCTCAGACGCTGTTTTTGTCTAGTGAACATTATTTATTCGTATTGCAGGAGTGCCTGCAC